TCGAATATAAATAAATTGTTCATAATTTATAATTTTCCACACATACTGCACGTACGAAACACAGATGTATACTCCTCATATTTATACTAACATAATATTATATTGATTTGCAAGTGCCATAACAAAACATTTACACTCATTATGTTTGAGCATAATAGTAAATGGATTAGTATATTATATTTTGCTAACACCTAGCGGACATTTTATTTTACAAGTTGTACGTAATTACTAATTATTATTGATATAATTAATTATGGTTTTAATAAACCKTTACACAATATTATTACGATTGTCGATTATTCAGTAATTTAATTAAAATAATATGCGTTATGCGTACGACCTTTAATTCGTTGATTGGTGTTGTAAAATAGGGTAAAATAAGGTAAACTATTTTGTTAATAATGATTTAAAAAAACATAATATTTTAAATTTTAATACATTACAAAAAGTGTTTTATAATATCAGGCGATTGAAATTATCTGTTTTATTAAAAGTTAATACGTGGTATTATAGCCATAATAATATTATGCTTGTCTTGTCCGTTTTATCTCTGAACGTTAAAGCCTATTGCCTATTTTATTATTACAAATAGAAAATAAATACAAATATACTTATATATTATTATATATGTAATAGTCGGACAACTCGCATTTTATCTAAACTCGCTAAACTATATTATGACACAAGTAAAAAAAATAAATATATATTCAAATAGGAGACATTATTTTACTATACAATATAAATACGCATAGGTATAAAATATTGTATMTAAATATTATTTTCATTTTTATAATTTATTATTTACGATTATAGGTTAGTTATATAGGGTAAACCTTATTGTTAGGCGAAAATTATAACCTGTAATTGACTGGGTGGTAGTGGATACTGGATCCAGGGGCGTATTTATGGGGGGGCTGAGGAGGCTTCATCCCCCCCCACCCCGAAATCCAGGAATTGTTTATGAAGTCCGCTTATTATGTCCTATCAGATGTAAATTTTCGAACTCATATAGGCTGAATTGGGAATTTCAGTTGGAGAAAATACCACAGCACCCNAAAAAAAAAATCTAAATACGCCCCTGACTGGATATTATACTATACGCAGATAACTCGGGATAAATGCTATGAGGAAATCTAGAAATCTAAAACCTTACACTAAGGCCACGGTAGTTTTAAATGCGAAAAGATCTTTGTAAATGTGTACCACTGCTGACGATTATCTGAGGTTTTGTTTTTTAAAGTAGGTTGTATATATCTCTATAATTTTAGAACGGCGTGCCGTGGTCGTTCTAGAGATAAATAATGATTAGGAATGGGCGAGAGGGTGAGTGATAGAGATGCTTTCTCGACCGTCTCATATTATTTATTATTTGATAATATTTTAATAATAAATTAGGTAGATAATAATATTTATTTTATATATTATATTTATAATATTTATATCCATACATGTTTCTGCGACAGACATTTACACGWTTATTTTCGTCACCCCATCACGTACCAGTTCCTGTAGCAATGGGATAGTATGTGATCGTCAATTTAAAGTTATCGTTTTCAGCGTGATAATATACGTAAAACGAAGAATATTCGGAGGGTGGTGATTTTTGTGCTTAAAGTATTCATATTATTTGATGTTAACTCGTAGAGTAATCAACTACTTGAAACCGCTAAGAATCTAACATTTTAGTTGCATATTATATCGCAGTATAATTATAGTATTAGTAGAATAATATGTACACATTAAAGAAAYGCAATGGTATCGTAAACTAGCGTAATATATTGGTTTTGAGTTTTTGACAAAAACCATAAACATCCCATTTCCGTTATCCTGAGTACGTGACGATAGACCAAAACCATTCAGTAATAAACACTTGTTACATGCTGAGAGAATGCAAATTAAAATAGATAATTGCAGCTACTGTGGAAAAATAATAAATACATTTATTTTACTGTCAAGTCACAAGCCTAGACGTTATGAGCTGTATAATCGGTACCACGCAATGGCCTTTATTTGGATGATGTGATTTTGTCATTGGTTCGTTATTGGACATAAAGCGTAATCGGTTATTAAAATGAAAAGGAATGTCGCTGACAGTGTAGATAGACTGATAGAGTCAGCAACACACGCATGTATAATAATAATAAACAAACAACAAGGTCGAATAAAAAAAAAATTCAAATTCCATCAGACGTTGACAGTAGGTAAACGATTAATATCAAATATATATACGATATATATATAATATATATAATATATATAATAATGGTGTATTTTTGACCAAGGAGGTATCTACTTTAGATAACTGAACTTTCAGGGAGCTCGGATATGTATGTATCCCAAGCTGGTAAATGACTTGGTCTGTACATTTTCGTAAAATTGTGATTTATAAATATACATACTATAAAATAAAATACATTGGTGATTTAAAAAAAATATATTTCAATAAGACATTCCTAACTTGCGATATCTAAAAATGTCAAAATAAAATTATATATATGTACTTACGAGTTATTTAAGAGGTTAAATATTTTTGCTAATAAAAATAAATATGTTATAATGTTATATTATAAAATATTAACTATTTCAAAATGTATGATGTGATATTTTATCATCATTAATGTATAACTGTATTATACTATTTTTACGAAGTCATTACTCATAGGCATTAACACAAAATTCAACTTTTTATTAAACTTATGTTTATATTATTTTAAGTATTAATTACCAAATATGACATAATTATTTTGATATTCCTTTAAAGCAAATCTATTTACATTTGTGTCCCATCTTGACCAGTAAATTATTTTTGGTTTGTTAGAATATAACTTGATTTTATGATTATAATTTATTTACCGATATCTGATTATATACAGTTAATTTTYGATTACTTGACTCTCAAGAGCAATACAAATAGAATCGACTTATAGTTATATATAGCTCAAATACAACTTCAAAATATTTCAAGAAACAAGAGAAAAATTTGAGTACACGAGGTTCGTGGTTTTGAATTTTGATTAATATTCAAATACCCATCAAGCTGATATGTTTTCCCGGGCTAGGACTCGTGCACTAAAGCTTGGACTGATATCGTCACCAGAAAAATTTCAGATTGGGTTTATATAATAGGTACCTACATGGCTATATATAATATTACTATATAGATTATACAGCCAACAATAGTCAATGACTTGAATACAAATTTTAAGTTTTAACAATTTTAATCAATGTTCCACCTACTATCACAATTATATCAGTATCACCTGCTCGTGATGTGAACACATATTTTGATAGTTGGACAGTACTATCCATATTCTCATGATATAGTAACTATCGAGTTTTACTATCATCGTGCGACCGTGRCTTAACACATATTACATTTTCCACGAAAACAATATTTTGTTCGCCATCCCCCACTCCGGGGCATGGCAGAAACCTACGGGTGCCCCAATAGAAATTCTGCCAAAACTCTCACCCACGTGTAAAACCAACCTACAGTTCCCTAAGAACCTACAGTACTACCCCCTTCCCAATGGCCTTAGTTGCCGCGGGATAATAAAAAAAAAAATAAAAAAATAAATATTTTGTCGAATGCCATTATAAAAATTACCAACAAATATTTTTCAAACATAAAATAGATAAATCACGATACACATATACCTACTAAATATAATAATTATTAAAATAGCAAAGATATTTTAATATAATATATTTAGAAGACAGATAGTGTATATACGGGTTTTTATAATTACCAATCGATTTGATTCCGTTTCTCGTCCATTAATAACCGACACATTAAACTACCATACTTTTGAGTTGTACAGATAAATTCATTTCGTTTTATAGTAATCGAATGTACGTACTATGTATAACCTAACCGTATGCCCGTATGTAAGTTGAGTATGCGCATTCCTTCGGTGCCAGAGTATGTGATTATTAATGTGGTTGCAGCGACTCGTACAAACGCGACTTGTGCTGAAACAGAGAAAAACATATTTATTGACATCGGAAATTATTGTACGGTATACAGTATGGATATAGTCTCCAATCGAGATTTTATATTAGTATCAAACGAGATGTCGTGAATATATTTTTTAACTTGTAATCCTGTACAGTTTATCGGTATTAGTTACTTAAATACTTTTACTATTTACTTCAACCTATTTACGCTCGTAACTCTAACGATTCGACCTTTCGTAAAATCTTATTGACGAGTCACATCGAGTTATAAATAATTGTCTTATAATCATAAAATATAAATATATAATATAGTTTCTCGCATGGTATGAGAATGTGTACTTTGTAGTATGTTTACATTTGACGAATCTATCTTTATTTTATCGTTTCTAAACCCCGTGTCTCTTGTAWTAATATTGTGAAGCGGTTTCGGAAATAAGTTTAAGAGAACAGAGAACGCTACACAGAAATGTATTGTTTCCATCTTACAAGTACGTAGTTTAATATTTTAGCAAGTTTTACGTTTATAGTATTTCATAAACTAAAAATGCTCATAACTTATAATCCCTATAAAAACTCTGATACCTAATAATGTTCTTGATACCATCAAGTTTTATGATAGATCGATTCGTTCTAATTTTTAAACTAAAGAAGTCAAACATGATCTGCTGAGCTTATAAAGTTGGTAGTTACACATTTAATAAACTGAGTCAATAGACAAGTCCATGTAGCGTCCTCTTAATTCGAACGCATATTGATGCACAAGACTATAATATTAACATATAATAATAGAATAGAATAACAAGATTATTTTAGATTTAATTTTTTTATGGACGAATTTGATAATGATATATCTATATGTGCCTATTGTGCCTATAGGTGTCTAATCTACCTATATTACTCGATATATAATGTTCGCATTAAAATTTACAAGGGACAAACATTTTGGGGTGGACTCAATGAGTTTGCCACCATAATAAATGATTATTATTATGTATATCGAATATTTTATAATACCGTAATAATCATGTTTCTCGCGTTTGCAGCGAACATGGGTGCGCTGGCCGCCGGTTGCGCTCTCACGTGGTCGTCGCCGACTCTGGTGAAGCTTCTGGAYGGCGACACCGGCATGAAGATCACGAAAGACGAATCATCCTGGGTGGGCTCGCTGGTGACGCTGGGYGCGGCCATCGGACCAATACTCGCCGGGGTCGTGCTGGATCGGTTGGGTCGCAAGTCCACGATCCTCTTGAGCATGATACTGTCGGCGATTTCGTGGATCATCATCGGCTCAGTCCCCGGTCTCATGGCTCTGTACGTGGCTCGCGTGTTGGCGGGTATCGCCGTCGGTGTCATTTTTACTGCCGTGCCAATGTACATCGCAGAAATAGCAGAGGTATATTATATAATCACTCATCACACACACACACACACACATACCCTCTAAAAATATTAAAAATTAATATTGTTTTATATATAATGTTTCCCTAAAATTTGGTTTGCCCCTCCTGAAACATGGCTACAGGCCTGCTATGCATCGATGACGTCTTAGCAGTTGTAACCCCGAGTCGGTTGAATTTAAACACATTCTCTTATGAATTTATGGATTTCTTTCTGGCATTAGTATATCCAAAACATAACAATGTTCACAGTACTCCACGCTAAATAAATGTAATGAATGAATAAYATGACGTATGATGTGATTTTTTCGAATGRCGTACCCGAGTTTATTCATAATAGCTCAAAGTATTTGATTTATGGTATATACTCGTACATTGATATACCTAATTGGCGTAATTGCCTTCATAAATCTTCGCAAGTATGATTAGAAATTATTTATTGTATTCAAATAAGTACTTGGCGCHATTGATCATCATTGATAGACGGTTGCGGGAAAACTACACACCAATATAAAATAGATAACGAGAGTGAGAAATGCTATCATGCGTATGTTGTTTTTGTTTATAAATATATATAAAYAATTATACTCTCATTAATATACAAATTAATTATTTTCCACATACAACAATATTATAATTATTATTATAYAKATACTATACGTGTGTGAATACGCATTTTGTAGGAAGCTGATAAAATATCTTGAAAGCAATTGGGTTCATACCTTTTTATTATATAAAAGGTCTTTAAACTATTTTATAATATAGTAACATATTATTCAAACATTTTTTTTAACGTTTTGACTATTTACCATATTTTAAATCTATTCGTAAATTGTGTGTTGTAAATTTAATTAATTTACTATACAATAAACGTAATTTTTGTAAAATTACAATTTTTATTCTAGTCAAAGGTACCTAATAAAATAATTATTAAYTTTACACTTGAGAAAATTTCAATTAAACATTATTTGTTTGTATTTTAAATTCAAATGACATAAAAAAAATAATATTATATAATACTACATACTTTGTGGCTGCGGAGTGCGATGTACTTGAATAACATTAAATTAAAAATAKCAATTTATTTTTATAATAATCATTACCGCGTATACCTTTTGAGTTTCAATTTCCGCTCATATGGCTCATTTTTTATCAGATGTAATGCCTATTGAAAACTGTTTAGTATTTAGTATTTAGTATATTAAATTATTAATTTTTTATTATTAATATATATTAAACTATTTAGTATCGTTTTTATAATATTCCAATCATGATATCGACCCGTTTAATTATCGGTTGATTCGTAAATTCGTAATAATATATAAACTACGCCGTCATAGTAATTATTACAATACAAATTGTAGTGTTCGCCTTATACAGACATACCTACGGCGGTAGTTGACATTGTGAATCCCGTTCGACTTCTGTATAATATGCATATATGTATATGTATGCACAATGCACGTGTGCAATAATATGTTATATATGGAATTATGGTCGATCAGTGATACTTGAAAGTCGCTATATATTTTATGTTTAGAATTGCACATAATATGGTATTATTATTGTTATTTAGATGCGTTTGAGATCGTCGTTGGGCACACTGATGCAGTTCTTCTTGGTCGTCGGATTTTTGATCGAATACATAGTCGGACCGTACTCGTCGTACCTGACGTTGGTCATCGTGTCCCTAGCGACACCCGTCCTGTGTTTCGGCATGTTCATATGGATGCCGGACTCACCACAATCGCTGTTGATACGGCCCGGTGGAGAGCAGAAGGCCATGGAATCGTTGAGGTGGTTACGTGGTAACCCACAAGAGACGGCTCTGATCAAAGAGCTTGAAGAGATCAAGGTACCTACACACAAACATTATCCCGCCATGATATTTGTTTTTAATATTTTCAAATTTAATTTCGATTTTCAATATGTTTGTTTAAAACAGAAAAACACCCTTAAAAACGTWTTAAATAGTGACTGGCTCTTAATATAGTGTACACTAATAAAATATTACGGATTTAATCATTCTGTATAGCAGAGAAATAATAATCATAATGTTAATCAATAATTAATATTAATGCTTCGTTTGAATTGCAGAAATCCATTGACGAAGCGAAGAAAGAAAAGTCTGGTTTCGCCGAACTGTTCGCCAACAGGGGCAACATCAAGGCGGTGATCATATCCTGCGCCATGGTAGCGTGGCAGCAGTTCAGTGGCATCAACGTGGTGCTGCTATACAGCGAACCAATTTTCTTAAAGACTGGCGTCCAATTGTCTGCCAGCGTGTCCACAATAATCGTCGGRACGGTGATGTTGATCGCTGCCGGTGTSACACCGTCTTTGGCTAAGATTACTACCATGAGAACGTTGCTGTACATTTCGGCAATCGGAATGGCAATTACCGACGTAAGTATGACATAATTTTTTAATACTTTAGCGACGACTCAACTCAACAGCGCTAATAYCTATATCGGCGTAGTGTAACTTCTTGTAGTTGGCAGGACAGTTCATAGGCGTGCGCAGACTTATTTCGCAGGGGATGCCAATATATTTAAAAATAACTAAATTTTTAACTTCCTTTAATGAAACATAAATCAGAATTAAAAAAAAAAAAACTAGGTACAAAGCTCTCAAAATAATAGTCATTACTCATCATAAACTTTCTATTTTATTCTTAATATGAATTTAATTCATCTGCAATCTGCTGTTTAATTGTTTGTATTAAGCTGGCTCCGCAGACCACTGGGTATGCCATGGCTTACCCACCATTCTCCCTGCGCACGCCTATGATCCAGTTAACACATCAATAAAATCAGGGGGGGAGGGAGGGACAAAAGAAAAGAAAATATATATTTTTTTTTTAACATATCTATTAGTTATTACAATAGTATAATATTATAACACATAATATGATGGAGATAAGATATCTATCATCTTTATATCGTCATCATCACATTTTATAGAATACGACGTGATGTATAATAGTACTGCTCGTGCGCCAGTTTTTTTTTTTTTAAATTCATCACACTTATAAAACTTAAATTTTGTGGCTTGGTGAGGCGTGGTCGTACACTCAATTTGTGGAAACACACTGAGCGTGCGTAACGGCCACAATTGCTAGCTCCCGGGTGGTCACCCATCCGGGAGCTATCAACAAATCATCCTTGCCACACATACACAAATACGTGTTACAACCTACCAACTTAAAAACCTACTAACAAATACCTACATAAAAATAACCCCTATCGTACCACTCCACGTCTTCACACCCAATGACCTATGTTGCCGTGGGTTCCCCCTAATAAAAAAACAAATTAATAAATATTTSTATCATAAGGAAGGCTATAAAAATGACTTGGAAGGCTTTATTTGGTCCACAGGTTGGGCCACCCAGACTTAATGGTATATAAATATATAATAATCTATACATTTTAATATACACGTTTGTTTTAAGTTTTAAATGTTTTAATATACAACCTTAATTTGAACTCGTGTCGTTCAACTATGTTGTTCACCACACTTTCTGAAATATTATTCACTTACTCCTTCGTGTGGTGTGAATTATTTTAATATCTGTATAGTTTATATTATATATTTTAATAAAAATATCCAAACATTTTTCTATTGTTACTACAGGGAACGCTTGGTCTGTTTTTTTACTTACAAGAATCTGGAAGAGATGTGAGTTCTATCGGATGGTTACCGGTCACAAGTTTGGTGCTTTTCATCATCACTTATTGTCTTGGTACGTTCTCTAAGCATAAATATTTTTTAGCTGTGTGTAATGAATAATGATCAATGTTATGCGATGTTGTGCAGAGATTATGATATAATATAATACAGTATGCTATGTTATTGCTTACATATAATATTAACTACCTATACAACATTTTAGACTGTAAAATATATAATATGCATATATACTTTATGAACGTTTGGATAAACACGAATGACTTGAATTGGTTATATTTTGAAATCATTTTCAGGTTTCGGTCCGCTACCGTGGGCTATAATGGGAGAGATATTCCCGACCAATCTTAAGTCAGTGGCTTCGGCTTTAACCGCCAGTTTCTGYTGGATTCTTGGCTTCATATTGACGAAGTTGTTTGGTGCGGTATCCGATGCCATCGGCATATATTCTGTATTTTGGATATTTGCCGTGTGCTGTATATTTGCGCTGTTGTTTACGGCGTTTTTGTTGCCACAAACCGAAGGAAAAACACTCCAAGAAATTCAGGACATGCTGCACGGCAGAAACAAGTCCTCGAACCACAAAATGACCAGAGCATGATACATGACACAATTTTGTACAAAAGTGACTGATTATTTTTCATTTGATTAAAAATTCTCTAAATTGTCTACATGATATATTTATATTTATGAAACATTTCATTCCGTTTATATAAATATATTATGCAAAAGACAACAGCCAATATATTAATTATCATAAGTCTTAAAACAAGATATTAGGTATAGTAGGTACATAATATATATATAATATATATTAATACGATTCAAAAATCAATACTGTAAATTTTGTACTCAATATTTTTATTTTATTTTATATAATGAAGACTTTATTTATACATTATTTGTTTATTATAATAATATTTATAATATTTAAAAGAAACTTATCACACACCGCTATTTCTATCAATCACGATACACTCTGTCGTGGTAGGCACACTTTCATCTTTATAGTCTACAATCGTATGCGTGAAATAAGTTTAAATTTTGGCACACTATCGAATAACATTATATGTATACCAATAATATGTAAATTTTTATTTTCATTTGTTAAAATCAAAGAGTAAAAATATTTTTATAGCATTTGTTGAATATAATTGAATTTTTTAAGTATTTATGGTGCATTTGATATTTTCAAAACGGGCAAGTAGGTACTTCTTAAAAAATATACTTTTGGAGGAAGAAAGAAAGAGTAAAGATTTATATCCACATGTCATCGCATAAGCAAATAGGTACCAATAGTTAAGTATAATAGGTATGAAAAAAGTCCATTCGTATATATTGTTGTTCAACACGAAATCAAACTCACATAAAGGTTAATTTACTACTTACCTATCTATTCAAAATTAAACTTAACTTGAGCTACTTATATTTTTAAATGTATCTGTTAATACTATATAGTTTATAATTTATTTTACCACTGTAAAATATTTAATCTAAGTTTAATTGTTTTTTTTACTTCAATATATCTATATACCTACTTAAAACAGACAATAAATAACTACTATAATAACTATAAGTATTTTTTAAACAGTTGATTAGACAGAAAATAAATAGATAATATCTATTTATATTTTGAACTTTTTTTGTTTACATACTTATTGAGTTATGACGGCTATATATTAATATAAATTGCGCTAAATGGCTATTTTTGAACGCAWATTAGTATTATTATAGTCTTATATACTTTATGCGTGTGTGTGGCGTGTGCATCTATTTACTTCAAACATTTTATGTTCTTCATGTTTTATGATATATATTATGTGGGTGAGGTTGGTATGACCGATTGTTGGTATGAACGCAGGTCATAAGTTCCTTGCAGYAGAGGAGTAGTAGTGTTCATACAGATCCTCCTCTGCTGTCGGTTTAAACAGAAAAAAAAAGGTCAAAGTTATTCCTAGGACCTGTAAAATATAACTTTTTTTTTATTAAGAAGAATATATTTACAATCTATTTTTACAATAGTCAGTAAGTATGATGACAAAATTTTATTTATATGACATTAAGAATATTAGAAAAGGAAGGCCCTCAGTAGTGGCACCTGACAAGAAATTACATTAAGTTAATTAATTGGTATAGTTTTAATTGTTTTTGTTTTTTGTTTTGTTTTTGTATTTATGCTTTGAGCAGGGCCAGCCACAGCCTTTTTAGTCTTTTGGGAGCATGTGTTGCAGAGGATAATTTTTGGATTAAARGATTATAATGAGTGTAGAGTTTGGAAAAGAACTTGGTATAATGAGATTTGGCCAAATCGTTAAGGGTAGGTAGATTTAAATCTTTGTGGAGATTTTTATTTGTTACGTACCAGGGGGTGGAGGTTATTAGGCGTAAGCATATTGATTGAAAAGCTTGTAGAGTTCTGGTATTGGAAGGCTTTGGAGACCCCCATAGCTGAATGCCATTGAGCTAGACTGGGTAGATTATCGCTTTATATATTGTCACCTTGTTTGTTAGGAATAGTTTAGATTTTAAAAGGGGTCTACGGAGGTGCAGCCTGGAGTTAACTAATTGTTTCCGCTTTAGTTTTAGGTGTGGGCCCCACGTAAGACGTTTGTCAAATGTGAGCCCWAAGTACTTAACTTCGTTTGCTGAAGGAAGGACTTTGTTGTTAAGTGTAAATGGAGGGCAGTCARAGTTTCGTAAAGTGAATTGATTTGGTTTCGTTTATTTTTATTTTCCAACGATTTGCCCATAAGTTGATCATATTTAGGTGATTTTGGATCCTTACTCTAGCAATTTCAGGATCGCGATGTGACGCCGATATTAGAGTATCGTCTGCGTATGTGCCAACTGCCAATGAATGTGTAAAAAGTGTTTGGGATATCATGGGTGAACACAGAGTATAGGAAAGAGGCGATGTCGCTTCCTTGTGGGACACCTGCTTTTATGGGGTGTGACATATTGAGTAGCTGTTTTTGAGACGAACAGTGAAGAAACGGTCTGATAGATAGGATTTTAATAGTAGAAAATGGGGGGCTGGAAGGAACTAAAAAATATAACTTAGGAAACTTTATTTGTATCGATCCAACAACCCGGAATTCAAGACCGGTTCGTGTAGTAGGAACAGCTAACCGCGGACTACTCCTTAACTGGATAGGATTTGGTATAAATATCGACAACCACTTAGTTTTAATAAACGAAGGAGGTGTGTTGCAGTCTCCCATAAGGGGAGGGATCAGAAGAATTATTTTAAATAATTTTCTACATTTCATTTTATAACATTTTATGGAACTTATAATTTTAATAATTTGATAAAATATGTATAAAGTATATAATATTTATTATTATTATTATTATTTAGATATTCTTATATTTTAATTAATTTTCTACATTTTATTTTAAATTTATTATATAAATTTTTGTTTTGGTCGAAAAGAGAATCGACCTATTTCAAATTTATTCGAAAAGTGAATCGGCCGAAAAGGGAAGGGTATGTTTTTGGTCGAAAACGGCCATGCCCGGTCAGATGGACCCATGGTAATTTGGACTTATGAGGGACCCGGCGTGCTTGTAAATAATTACTTCAAAATTACTTATTTATTTCATATTAGAAAAATGTTCGGGGCTCGGATTTAGTTTTCTATACTATGGCAAAAAATATGATGTGGAAATACATTTCATATTCATCCGCGTTAGAATAAATCRTGGCAATACATAGGTACTTACGAGTTACGACTTAYCTACTATAGTATCATTAGTATCGATAAATGTGGAATAAAATATGGTAAAAAATTTAAATATTATTTCACCAGTGAGTGATATCCTATAGGTACCTACTATGTACACTATAGATATTTTCGCCTACTTGATTTTATGTCCCTGCAGAATTTGACGAAAATTCGTCCTCGAGAACAATAATACTAACTTTGCCGGCTCGCGAGACTTAATTTACCGGAAAAAAGCACATTGCAGAATTATATATTAATATTATTRCATAATGTTATTATATTATTATTATGTGTATTTACCTTACGCCACGGCTTAGATATAATTAGATTGATATCAATCCACCATGGCCTATACCACGAAATAAATAATTCTGTATCTATACTCTTTGGAACGGTTGTTGATAACGTTGTATGTGATAGCACTATCATTTACCGACAAGCGTAACGTAAATAATAAACATAATATTGTTAATATTATATTATTAGTCATTAGATACGTATGAACTATGAAGCCTTTACTCATTACTTTATTGTAAGAAAACTTAATATTCCTGTAAGTATTATTAATGCAAGTAAAATCAAACATCGTAAAATAACTGCAATAATTTCCATTTGTATTATTGTAAAATTAACTAAATAATTGTGTATTAAAGAAAATGTAATAATCTGATTTATCTATAACTTTTTTGGTGTAACAGAGAATCGTTACAAACATGAGTTCCGGATTTGTTTCTGAAACAGAGCTTGCAGAACGACGCAGAATCCGTCAAGAAGAATGGGACAAAGTTAGAACGGCTGAACAGCCTTTGGGTAATGTGAAGGTTCTAGTTCGTCTCAAGTTGGTAATTTTTATAAATAAATGTATTTTGTACAGTGGTGCCTGAAGAAGAATATGATCACCGATCATTGTTTGATAGACTTGAAGAACAGCGCAGAAAAAAAGAATACGAATATGAAGAAACTCATAAGCTCAGTAAATATTTTGTGCTGCATTTGTTTAAAGTACTATACATAACACATGAATGTTAGCAGTTGATAAATGTTTAAAATTATTTAGGTCTATACTTCAAAGTGTAATGGGAAGTTCTAGTTTTTCAAATAAATATATTCATTTCTTTCATATYAAWTTTTTTAGAAAACATGATAAGAGGTCTGGACGATGATGAAGTAGGATTTCTTGAATTGGTTGATAAAACAAAAATGGATGAAGAAAGACGTCAGCTAATCGAGGAGGCCAGACAGATTGAAGAATATCGTTCAAAAGTATCAAATCTACAGTGTGAAACTACAGTTTCTCCATTAATGGCCCCTATTTCTAAACCACAGACTTTGAATAGTAGTGTGTAAGTATTATGATTGACAGGTTACACT